CTGTGCCAGCCGTTGTAACGGTTCTACTTCTAGTAACCAGGGTTCGGAGCTACACAGGAACTAAAAAGGCAAACTCACAGCTGTGAAATCTCCCTTCAGTTCGACAACTTTATCAAGATCGGGAAGAGCTGATTTACTTTTCCCCATAGCAAGATAGACAGTAGCTCTCCGATAAAGAGTTTGGTAGTTGAGAGGGTCCAAGTCGATGGCTGCATGGTAATGTGAAAGGGCATCACCGAATTGTCCCTGAAAGCTCCAACTTAGAAATTGTTAGTTTGAGTACAAAAACCGAGCTACTCACCTTTGCTAGGAATCTTTTACCAAGTTCAAGATGTCTATCCACCCTGTCCTTATTCGCGTATACTATAGCTGAAAACCAGCGCGTGTAGGTAAATAGCGCGTAAAAGAAGTTCATGCAATGAGCATACCAAAAAGGACGCTGATAACCTTGATTTGGGAAGGAGCCTTCGTTATGATGGAGCGCATAGTAAACGTTAATGTCAAGAAGTTTTCAGAGTATCCCTCTATCAAAATGTAATGAATCGTTACTACTCTGCAACACAGTCATTTTATACTCAGTAGCTAGTAATGAACGTGTTTGAGCGCTGAATGTTGAATGATCGTTAAGGCTTTCACATCATCCGGAGCTTGCAGGCAACTTACATTCCGTGAGAACGACGATGAAAACGAGTAACGTTGCTATGAGCTCCAAGCGAGCAACAAATACAAAACATTAACAAACAAATAGAAATCATTAACAAATCTGTGATGTAAATTAGATCGAAGCGCTAGGGCACAGAAAAAGTATAAAAAGCCGACAGGGAAACCGACCGATTCGGAACTAATTTGACTAACAATATTTGAGACATAAAGACATAAATTCCTAGCTTTTTCTCGACTTCTGAACGTTGATCACGTTCACTGACTCAATTCCTTAAACGCGTTCAGCTACCACCATTTCCAGGCCTAAATATGCGAAGATGCCACATAAATATACTGGTTGCGGTTTAATCGATGTTGTGGAACCGCTGCTGAACTCTGGAGGCCTGGATATTCTCTCTTCACACTGAATGAAATTTACTGGAAAACGTGGGAACAAAGAATACGGACAGCGGATCAACTGCAAAATCATGGAACAGTCACGTCACAAGAAAAACTACAATACTTTCAAATGAGAAACATGTGCACATAATCGAGCAATACACTTTTTTCTTTGAACACGCACAAGTTTTGAGAGCAAACGCTAACCCGAAAAAGCCATACTACTTATACCTACAACCGGTCGGATCGCCCCTTCTCTTCTTTTTCTTAAGGTTGATCCGCCGCCTGCACTTTCGCAAGTTCAAAACCTCTTGTCCAATAAGATTTTCGGCGAAACACACACACCGACAAACTTTGTGCTTTGGGTTCACTCCCTCTCATTACAATTTGACTGGCCGCTTTCATAGTCCGCCGGCGCTTGCTCCTTCTTTACCAACTGAATCATGATCGATACCGCAGGCCGAGTAGTCCTCCGAACTATGACAGCAGCCACTGGTTACATTCATACTTCGACTTGCGCGCCGGCTCGCAGTTGGACACGGCCATACATTTAGAAGTGGGGTGCGAGCGGCTATGCGCGACAGCGGTCCTATACAAGCGTGTGACAGCAGCGGGTACCGATCGATACCGCGAATCGAGGATGGCTGCTGTCACACGCTTGGATAGGACCGCCGTC